TGATCGAATCCCCCAAAACCATCCCCCCCAAGAAATAAGCAAAGATGCTGCGCGCCCTGATTGCACGGGTCTAATTTGAACATGGTGTGTAGCACATACTCCCTTGAAAGCTCGACTTGCTTGTCCAGCAATCTAGGGAACTAAAGATAGCTTTTGGAATTACATAAGAGTTGAAATACCCCCAAAAACTTACAGGTTACCTACTCTATTGCTGAGCCTAAATGCAAAACCCTCTAACCGTGAACCTCAAAACATCTAAACCCGAAGCCCGAAACCCTAAACCGCAAACCCTATAAACTCTAAAACCTTAAACCCTAAAACCCTAACCCCTAAACTCCTAAACGCTTAACCGTAATCCCGACACCCGAAACCCCCCACTGCCCGCCTGGCATTCGCGGCCCCCGGAAAGCAGCTCGCAGGAGGCCGCCAACGTCTTGAAGTCCAATCCCTCGGCTGTTGCGGCTTGAGGTAAAAAATAAGCCCTAAGGGTCCAAGTAGGGCTTATGTACGGTTTTTCATACCTAGAAAGGCCCTAAAGTCTTCAACTAGGGAGCACCTGGACCCTCTGGGAAGGGGTTTAGGGGTGGAAGGTTTCGGGGTTCAGGGGCTCGAGGGCCCAAGGGTTTTTAAGGTCATTCGGTTTGGGCTTCAGGGTTTAGGGTTTAGGGCTTAGGGTTTAGGGTTTAGGGTTTAGGGTTTAGGGTTTAGGGCTTAGGGTTTAGGGCTTAGGGTTTAGGGTTTAGGGTTTAAGGGTTTAGCACGGGGTTTAGGGCTTCAGGCTTCAAGCGTTTATGAGGCTTCACTACTTTACGGTTTTATACGGCTTCAAGGCTGACTTTTCGGCTTACCAGGACCCTCCCTGCACGCGAAAAGTGGTAGGTGTCTAGGGTGTGGTAGAGGGATGTGGAGGGCCCACCTAAGGGTCTTTAGGGTGCAGGCTTCAGGGTGTAGGGAGCTCCCGCCTCTTGATGTCCATACATGGCTCTGCACTTTAGTCTAGTGTTTCGATGGTTCAGGCTGATAGAAGTTTAGGATGTTTGTTGATTTTTTGGGGGGGTTCAGGCTTGGGTGTTTTTGGCTGGCCCTGGAAAGCCCCGCGAAAAAACATTCGTAACTAGGATCCTCTGAAGCCCAGTAGGTTTGCCAATGCGGAAGTTTTAAAGAATGCAAAAGTCATATGTACCTAGTTAGGTGTTGAAAGATGTCTGAAGTTCTATGATTCGATTGTAAGGTCGTCCGAGGTGGCTACTTCAGGCTAACTGAGGGTTCACCTGTGGGATTCTCGGTGGTTGTGTGGGGCTTCCCAGGACTTGTGGCAGGTAAGACAGGGGCCCCAATAAACAGGCTTTTGGGTCATATGATAGTATAGATATAGTACTCCAGGAACCCAAAAAGATGGTATTGAATGATTTAGGACGCTATAGGAAGGTTTTTTATCTGGTGCGAGGCTTGTTGAGAATCAGCACTCATGTTGCTTGGGGTCGTGTTCAGGTTTAGGGCTTTCAACTCTGGAGATCAAGATCAGAGATAACCCAGAGACCGCGTGACTCACCAAAAACCTCAGGCAAGGAATCTCGTACATTTGCACCGAGATCTTGCAGGGCACGTTGATTCAGCAATTATCCTGCAATTCTAGTGTTTTGCTGATTGTGTCAAGAAAAATACATATTCCTCAATTGTTTTGGCTACCCCCCCTTCATAATGCCACCTAGACTTTCTTGCGCAGTGGAGCCTTGCGCACAGCCCACCGCATCGCGTCTTTGACGTTCGGTCTAGGCTGCGTGTAGTCCTGAGCTCGTCACGAACGGTCCGATACTGGGTTTTGGGTTGAGCTCGTAGGGTTTAGGAGCTGAGGTCGTTTTGGGCTCGAGGGCTTTGCGGGCTAAAAGCGTTTTTTCGGGTCTACGGCCGTTTAAGTCCCAATCGTAAGTCTTGACCCGCTCAGAACACGGAGTAGCAGAGCCTTAAACAGAACCCGATAGACTGTCTGATTCTTAGTAGGGAATGGGGGAATGGGTTATAGGCACTACTGTAAAGGGACCCTCAAGGGACGATCATAGGGATCCATTCCCCCATGCCCTACTAAGAACCGGACAGTAGAACAAGACAGTGTTGGCTTCAAGCAAGCGATCGTTCCTCCGGTGCAAACTTAAGTGAGGGGCTTCCTGGGCCCTGGAAACCCGCATGGGAAACCAAATCCCTAAATCTGCGTTACTAAACCCCAAACCCTGCGTCAAACCCTAAACCCTATACCCTGAACCGTGTCGGGTCTTGGGGCGTGCAAGCAGCACGGAGAATTATTGATGTGCTTCTCGCAGGGGGGGTGTTGGATGGCTCCCCGGGGAAGAAAACGCATCGTTTGCTAATGTAGGGATCGAAGGGACCAGAAGAGGGTTGGGGGTGTATTCTGTTCTAGACTTTCAAGGTACTCTACTCGTAATTTTCAGCACCTCTGGGTATTCAGTGCTCCGGAAAGGTTTGAGAACCGGCTGGCAGCAACAAGAAGCGCGTGGCACCCGGGGTGCAAGGCACATGCTTTCTCGTGTTGAGACATGAGGTGTACTTCAAACATTCGGCTCCGAAACCTCAACCGGCATATCGAATCTCTTGCATATTTACCGCTTTGGGCCTATAGAGGCTCTTATAGCTGCGCTTAGCACCCCAGCCCCGGCACTCAGCCTCAACAGTAAGCTCTACCGAGACTCCGATATCCCTTCATTACAGAGTAGACCTTCACTCATAGCAGGGATCCTACTGTAATGTGAGGTATATTCCTTAACTAAGGGATGTTGGAATATCTGCGTACTGGCAGCCCAGGCGCATCCTGCATGTCCTTTACAAAGGCCTGATTTCCTTCGGCACCTCCTCGGCTCAGATTCACCTGATGTAGGAGATCAGGTTGTGCACAGCGTGTTTAAGACGGTGTCCGACGAAAGAGGCGGGGGTGAACGATATCTCTTGATTTGATAAAACGTGCATCTATCTTACGATCTAGATAGATATTAAGTTTGGTCTTCGCATGTTAATGCCGTCGGATCGCAGCCCAAACACCACGCCAGGGTCTGGGGCGATTTAGCGTTTCGAGTTTGAGGGTTTGCGGCATAGAGGACTCATGGAGGTGTGTAGGATTTCGTGCTGTTGTCTTGAGTTCAGGGTTTGGAGTTTAGGGTTCATGACTCAATGTTGTCGTGTTTGGGTTTAGCCTTCATTGCCAAACCCTGAGAACGACTTCCAACTTTCTAAAAAACGCTTGAGCCCTTTAGTCCTGTAAGTCTACATCACATAAATGTGATAGTTTGACCCCACATCCCCAAACCGAAACCTTGCAGAAGCCCTACATGTTGTTTGCAAAATCAGGGAGCTTAATGACGCAAATCATGAATCAATGAAAGTATGAGAAATACGGTGGTGCAGGCTCTTCCACATTTACATAAACCAGCAAACCCAGTAGGTCAGGTATCTGATCCATCTTACGGTTATAATGAAGTACCCGTTACCCGTAGCCCAAACAACCTGGCCTTTTCAGGTCCAGTTTCGCGGTCTCTTAGTGTACGACAATTTAATTATCTTTCTGGGCTACAGGCGTTCTTACACCCATCCTACCCAAATACAGGATTCGAAAACCTGAACATTTGCTGCCACTCTGGGGCTTACAGGGTTTATGGGGCTTGTGGCTTAGGGTTGTAAAGCCTGAACGGGGGTGCCTTTCTCAGCTTCTTTGCACGGAACGCGCGTCCGCGCGCCATGCCGGTGGACACCTGAGACCACGGGCTTGGGGTGTTCAGGGTCGGCGTTTCAAGGTTTAGGGTTTATAAAAATTTGGGACCTGCGAATCCAATAGCCAGGTCTATAAAGGGTATACCCGATACCCATATCCATATCACTATGGGGATGACCTTCTATTATACTTTGTAGTGTGCTAAGCTGCAGGTCATTCTTTGGGCTTAAGCTGACTTTCCCGAAATCGTACACCCTTTTGAATTTCAGAAGTATCATACTCATGTGTTTGGATCTCTACATGCCGTTCTACAGGCGCTTGAAGCTGTCTTCCTGACAAGCTGGTTTGGGGTAGTTTACTACGTTGTAGCATAATGCAGTACGGGAAGGTAGCATAATCATAACGGCGACAATAAGCTTCTGTTGTTGAATTTAGGCATCCTTAATGTATCCCTAACCTTCTAGGAGTGCGGATTGCAAAAGCCGAAGTATTCCTGGCATGCCATCAGCCCCCACTCCCTTCGTTGAGGGAAACGTGCGGCGCCGTTCATGTCAGTTATTCAGCTATTCATTTCTTTCCACATGCCTTCGTATGTCTTGCAAAGCGTCCAACCCCCCCTTAAATATGCAGCGGCATGTTACCCGGGTCATTATGAAGGGAAGGTGGTCTCTGAAATGGCCCGGGCAACCTTGGATTTGCGCATGACCTCCATCGACGCAGACTTACCCGCCCGACGCAAAGCGAGAAAGTGTGCAAAGGATTCAGCGAAATCGCGGAATCAAGCAAATTCCTCGAAAAGCGGGCATGTCGCAGGCCTTCCGCAGCAACCGCTTCGCAAATTCTCGCAGGATTCGGTTCAGATCCGGGTTCGAGATAATTCCAGACACGACCAAAAACATGCATTTCGGAAGCCCGCTAGCAGGAACACCAGCCGGCCGGTAGAGTGTGTAGGCTCTTGGCTTGAGGGTTTCGGATTTAGGCTTGTGGCTTCAGGGTTTCGGCTTTGGCCTGTGGCTTTAACAATTTTTTTCGGCGAGAAAACACGCAAGCCAGCACTGGATTGTTTTGACCGCCGTCGCTGACGCCACGTGCAGCTCTTTAGGGCTTCCGGGCCATGGGTTACCGGTAGGGGTTCCAGGAGTCCACCACTGGCATGGCAGCAGTGCCCACGATGCTGGTCGCTCAGACTGGGCACGAAAGTTCCGCCTGCAGGTCGGGTTAGACTGCACAGGAAAGCGGACAACACCAGTAGGAAAAGGAGCAAAAGGCTCCTCACAGATCCTCAGAGCACATGACCATGCTGCGTGGCGGAGTCCAGGTGCTTCAGCAACCGCAGAAGCTGATACCTTGCAGGTTCGCTGGCCGTGAGCTCTGCTTTGATCTCACGGAAGACTCTGAAGACCTGCTTGCCGAAGGCATCGCGGCTCCGCACCCTCACCAAATCCAGAACATGGACGTTCGCTTGGCCACGGAGCCCAGGGTTTGGCCTGCAAATTGGCTCACCCTGCACACGCTCTTGGAGTCGAACACTGGGTTGGCTGCTTGTCTTGGGAGATGCAGGAGCAAAACAACTGCCGATGAATCGGCGACCTCTGGCACTTGACTCCATCTCTGTCTATAGCCGCCATCCCCGTCTCTCTCTCTCTCTCTCTCTCGCTCTGGCTCTCTCTGTGTCTCTCTCTCCCTTTCTTGCGCTCTCTCACTCTTATGCTCACTCTGAAACTCTCACTCATTTTACTCTCACTCTCAGGCCCGCTGTCACTCTCACCCTCAATCTCAACGACTCAGCAAAATTTCGCAAACTCGGTCGAAACCCCAGAGGCTCTCCGAAATCCGAGATTTAACGCCCTGAAACCTCAAACCTTGAATCCCCTGTAAGCCTTAACCCTGAGACCTCTAAACCCTATACCCCTGAAACCTAAGCCTTGCAGCCCCTGCCGCATAAACCCTACCCAAAAAAACGAAGCGCCTCAAACCCCTTGCAATCTTGTATCTCTCTAAACTTGAACCCTAGAAACCTAACCCCCGCTCCCCCAAAATCCCAAACCCTAAACCCCTCGAATGCTGGGCCAGGTGCCCTAAACCTAAACCCTCGAACCTTAACCCCGGCTCCCCCACCAAAACGCTACACTTTCCCAAACCCTAAAAACCCCGAAACCCTAAGCCCTCAAACCCCAAAATCCCGAACCCTAAACCCCCTAAAAGCTGGGCCAGGTGCCGGTTTCAGCTCGGGGTTCGAAAGTGAGCTGCGCGTGCGCGTCAGCTGCGGGTCTTCCTTCGTGAACCTGGGCTACTTTAGAACTCTAGGGGTCGTCAATAATACCAACGAAAGTAATAGATAACAATAAGAACTCACCAGTCATTTTGATAATAGCACTGGTAATTAGTTAATACTGACAAGAGGGATAATTTAACATTGCGAAGATCATTAACTGTATGTGTATATATATATATATATATATATATATTCTAACTATCAGCATATGCCGCTTCCTGCTTACCCCGGAATGGCCCGAGGCTGAAGGCTTATCTTGCAGGTTTGGGCTAAGACTTGCCTAGAGGCCCCAAAGTAGCTCCTTTTGGGGGTTCATAAATAGAGTCCTATAAGGTAATCCTGCAAAGGAACGACTATGGAGCCTGTGGGTAATTATGTGGAACTGTGTGTCACAGATTGGGATTTAGGATTCAGGGGTTAGCTCTTTGTTGGGTCTAGTTGTGTTTGCAGTGTGGGGTTGCGGCTGCGTCTTCTATGGTGGGAGGATGTTTGGGATGTAGATATATGGAACTATAAGCAATTAGAACAGGGCAGTCGAGTTTGCTGTAGCATCTAGAGACGATACAAGGAAATCATTAACGAACTACTGAGACCTCTGTCACGGCTGTATAGCCAACATGCTCTAGGAAAGAACCCTGGAGGTTCCAAACCCCTGGAATCCTAACACATAAATTCCTAGAACACCTATAGTCTCCATTGTAGTTCCTTTTGGGGGTTACCTTATAGATCCTAATTTATATAATTGGTTAAACCAAAAAAAGGAACTACAATGGAGACTATAGGTAACCCTTGAAACCTGGACACCGGGTTGAGCAGCCACCACCAGCACAAAAGCGGGCAGCAGCAGGAGTCGATTTTCCAGCAGGAGCAGCAACCCAGCAGTAAGGTTTGAAGTTCTGGGGCCTTGTGTGCATAGTCCGTCACTCGTCCCGGAGCCAAAACACACCCTGTAATAGTGACTATAATAAGGATTATAGTAGGGCCCTATTATATTCCTATTACACTATTACAGGGTGGGGGCCCCTTCTAACTCGTATCTTATACATCCCAAACCAACAGCCCCACAGCCCCAACCCTAAATTCCACGCTTCATCTCAGAGCCCTTAGGGCCCCACTTTACATACTCAAGACCCCCAAACCCTAAACTAATATGGGGGCCTGAATAATTAGACTATAAGGCCTTGGGGCCCATTATACTGTAATCATAATAAGGAGCCCCCAAAATAGTATAGGTAATCACTTAAGCTCCTATATTACGCAGATCTGCAAGAAAGAAGCTGCACGTTGTTTCCGGCCATCAAAGGGAACCAGCCACGATCCGATCGAATCCACCTAAACTTTGCCGTGTCGGTTTAGAGTTTAGGGTTTAGGGATTTTGGGTTTAGGGTTTAGGGAAGGTAATGAAGGGTTTAATGTAGGAATCTGAATTTGAAACCTTTGACCTATAACCCCAAAATAGTAGGATTCAGATGAGGAGCCCTGATAAACGCCTAAAGTTTCTTAATCAGGTTCCGGAATTTATAATAGAAAATGGCACGAATCAATTGTAATACTAATACTAACAAATTTAACAATAGTAGTTCCTACATTAGGGTATTAAGTTTTGGCACCTGCCAGGGCAAGATACTTGGAGGGTCGGGGGACTTAGCAACTGGTTATTTTAGGGACTTATAAGTACCATATCCCCAACTAGGGTCCCTTTTATGTTAGGGCACTTATAAGTCTATTTACTATCTACTTACTAAGTCCACCGACCCTCCAAGTAGGCTAAGCCACAAGAATGGGACTCGACCGGGCAAAATTCTGGCAACCGGAGCTTTACCCACACTATACCCTAAGGGTCCATGTACCCATATAGAGATACATGGGCCCCAAAGTACCTAAGGGACTACATTAAGGCCAATGTATATACTATTTGAGTACATGGACCCTTAGGGATAAGGTCCTTGATTAGAGTTGAGTAATACCCAGTCCATAGTAGTTCGTTTTTGGGGGTTCGTATTTAGAGTCCTATAAGGTAAGCCCACCCCCTGGAGAATTTCCGGAACTATCAGGGAATACAAAGTGTGCAGGGTGTGCGGTTTGGAGTTCGCGGTTTGGGGTTTAGGTGTTGGGGCTTATGGGCAAGTGTTCAGAGCCCTAGCTGGAAGTTACGCTATGATGCTTGCTGTTGCGGTTTAAGGTTCTTACCTGGTTGGAACATGTAAGCACCTGCAGCGTCCGTGCACCACGTCTCCAAACTTCAGAGGAAGACGTCCGAACAAGAAAGCACTATTAGAAAATGCCGCGCAGGAGCTGGGTTGCAGGGGGTTATGGCTGAACACCCTCCCCGAACGACCTGCCTTTTTGGGGGTTCTTTACAATGGTTTCCTTGCATAGGTCCTGAAAACGGTAGGTTTACAGTAGACGCCAGAAAGTTGGAATATCATTATCGTAATCCCTTTAAGGTAAATTATAGGGGATCCTACCAGTAATCCATATTCCAACTTTCTGGAGTTCCCTTTAGGTGGGGTCTGAAGCGCTCCGGCAACTGGTCAGAATACCTGGCCATGAATCCCCACGAACCCGCTTGGCCCTACCCTAAGGCCCCAAAGTAGTTCCTTGTTGGGATTACCTAATAGGATTCTATATATGAACCCCCAAAAGGAACTTTAGGGCCTTAGGGTATCTTGCACAAGCTTTTTTCGGGAAAGGCGCATTCCACGCAACTCCCGCACAAACACGGCATCGCCGCTCTTTAACCTCAGCTGCTCGCTGTTTGGTCTTAGAGCCGCAAGCCCTAAAACCCCCGTCTCCCCCACAGAGCCCAAAACGCGTTTCTCAACTCCAAGCGCATGCTTCGGAGCCCAACTCCAGTATCCTTTCCGTGCGGGACGAGGGCGTCCTGCCGATGAGAGTCTCGGAAAGTGATGCTGGCGGTTGAGGGTTCAAAGGTGCTTGTGGCAGTGGTGGTGGGGACGACAAAGATGCATATGGTGTTGATTGCGACCAAGGTGATGCTTGGCAGCTGGGCATGATGACGATGGGGGTGGCGGTGCGGGTGGACTTGGTTGTTCTGACCGAGCTTCACTCCAAAATCTGCAGACGACTGGCAAGCAGCAGGTTGTTGCACTCTGCGCCGAGTTTTGAAGTAAGCCCCTATTATTCCCTGAGCCTGACTTAGGCACTGTAAGACTACCGTAGAAGTAGAACCAAATCCAAACCCGAATCCCCCTAACCCTCCTGATCCACCTAAACGCCTAAACCCAGAACCCTAACCCCTAAACATTAACCCACCCTAAACCCTAAACCTAAAACCCCCAAACCAAAACCGCTATGCCCTAAAGCCCTACCTGTGACCCCAAACCCTACAAAATAGTAGGTTATGACCCCTGAATTAGAGGGTAGAACCCTTAAAACGGTAGGGTTTCGGATCTCCAGGTAATCCCTACCCTAGGGCCCTGAAGTAGTTCCTTTTGGGGGTTCATATATAGAATCTTATGAGGTAATCCCCAAAAGGAACTACTTTGGGGCCTTAGGGTAACCTGTAGCAACTCCGCCTTAAGCGCCGGGCCTGCTCCGAAGGACCAGTTCGAGGAATCAGCCCTCCCCTCCCAGGATCATGACGGGGCCAGTACCTGGGTAATCTTAATAATTAGAATAAGACTTCCTTTAAAGGGGTTCCTTTTAAAGGGGTCGATAAGGATTACTACAAAGGGGTACTATGGGGATCTAACATAGGGCCTTAATAATTAGATCATGACCGGGCCAATACCTGCGTAATACTGCTGATGGACAAAATCCTGCATCACCCGTTATAAGGAATATACCATAATTCCCATAATTTAGGGTCCTTAAGGTAATGCAGGATTTTGTCCATCAACAGTATGGGGGGCCTTACAATAATTAGGATAGGGTTTTGGGGCCCATTACACTATAGCTATAATAAGGAACCCCCAAAATAGTATGGGAGTACCCATAGGGTCCATAATACTTCCTTTTTTTGGATTACAGTGAGGGGTTCTAAATATGAATCACAAAAAGGAACTACAATATGGCACTTTCAGAAAATATGGGTTCCCTAAAGTATGGTTCCCTATAGTAAGGATCCTACTGTCACTGTTCAGGGATCTATATCAGGCTCCACCATTTTCCGAAACTGCCATGTGCAGTAGAACAGGTTGGGTATGGTTGTCGATGTTAATGCCGAATATCTATTAACCAAAAAACAGCTTGGGAGGGCATGTAGTACTCTGTTAGCCAGAGAACCTAAGGAGTGTGTCCTCAACTGAAGGGTACTGGATTCTTTGCATACTGGGGCTCCTATGACATGTCCTCGGGGTGGTTCTTCGTGGCACTTGAAGGGGGGTTTGGCCCATATAGGATTTATTAAGTATGGGTCTTAATGATTTCATGATTAGAATGGGGCTTGATTTTTTTGATACCGTATATAATATAGTAAGTAACCTTAAGGAATAGTGGTCATCGCTATCCCAGCTCCGTTTTGGCTCAAGCCAGGTGACCTAAGCCCTGACAAGACCACGTGGTTAGGTCCGTGAGCCAGGGCTGTGGGGGCCTACCGTGGCATACTTGGAGGACTTAGTAGGTACTTATTGTATAGACTTATATGTATCGTAACCCCAATTAGGATCCCTGTTAGGGTACTTTATAAGTCTACTTCTTACCTAACTACTAAGTCCCCCGACCCTCCAAGTATGTATTTGGGGACGTTGGGGATGATACTACTGCTCATTGTGCAGACTTTTACATCATGTGTTCAAGGTCCTTACAAACCATTAGGAAACCTTTACAGGCTTTGTGCCAAGCTGCCAAATCTCAGTTCCAACGGCAAGGTCGAAGTGCATGACGCCATTGACGATGGACTGCACGATGTAGGTGGCATTGTTGCTCCGGCACATCTCCTTTTCAGGAACCCTTATTGCTCGGTGCAGGGTTTAGCATTAGGGCTGAGGGCGTAGTTTAGATCTCCTGTTCACAGGCACTCATTAATTCACCTCCCCCAAAGTAAAAAAAATGCACCTAAGTCGTACGAACGAGCACTGCATACTTTTTGAGATCTACTGCTTGAGCAAAAGATTTCGGAGTTTCTGGGTTGGCCTTAGGCTCAGCCCTGAGAGAGCTGCCATAACTTAGCGCGCCACTTGCTGTACTCTGCAAGTATAAAGCCCAAAGAGCCCAAGTGATAGTCTCGTATATGCTTTTGGGGTCCAACAACCTACTAAGTTACTACTCTAATGGTACTTGGACCCTTTGGGAGGGTCATACCAGGGTTTCGGGCTGAGGGTTCCAAACCCTGAGCCTTTCAACTACTAGGATGCCCAGTAACCTAGGAATAACAAGGACGCCCTTTTTGGTATTGGGTAACTTGATAAGGAACCTAGGACTGCAAAAAGGGAATAAGGGTACTACTGGGCATCCTTGACTATGAATGCCATCACCGACTGTGTTGCAGGGCTTGGGCAACAGGTAAGTCCCAGCACCCACACCCCAGGCTCGGGCAGGCCCACAGAAAGTGCAGACTCCCTGAATCTGCGCATGCGGTCCTTGGCGAAGAGCTGTATCATCTCCATGTCCTGACTCAGCAGTGCTAGGGACCCAAAAAAAACATAAGCATAAGCAGTTTACCGGGATATCCCTTCCTTGTTGGGCCTTTTTAAGGGGTTTATATGGAATATCACTGCCCTAATTTTTGCTTATGTTTTTTTTGGGCCCTGATCAGGCCTAAAGTCTACTAAACCCAACCCTTTAAATCACTTATAACCCATATTAGAGGACTTCTAACCCTACTTATAGCTACCCATGAACCTCCAAGTACACCCTCGCCCCGAAACTCTGCAAGGGCAATGTAAAGGCCCAGCTGGGGTGAGGGCTTTAGGGATTTAGGGTTTCAGGGTTTCAGGGTTTAGGGTTTTGGGATTTAGGGTTTAGGGGTTTAGGGCTGTTGACGTTCAGTGTTTACGGTGTTGTTTAGTGTTTTCATCAGGTCGAAGGCAGGATGTGTGTTGAGGATTTGAGCCCCCGCACTTCTAAGGCCCACATGCCTGGAAGTGGCTTCCGGGCGTGCCATGGTCCGTCGAGTCTGGAAGAGCGAAAACTTCCAACAAGTAGTCTTAAGTTCTGAAAGGCCTTTGAGAAATCAAAGGGCTTGGGTGGGTCTTCTTCAACCCTGAACCCCAAGCTTTTAATAAGTAGGATAGGATTTTGGAGCCCATTATACTATACAATTGGGTCCCTTTTTAGGTTCCAGAAATAGTACGGCACCCTTAGAACAAGGACAGGATATGTTTTAGGGTCTATAGGGTCTCCCCGCATGCCTTGTGCAGCAGCGCATGGTGGAGCGGTGTCTCGGGACAGTCGGCGCTGCGGCGACGGAAGAAGCTGGAGGCCTGTATCAGGTAGGGTTCCGAGGGACCCTAATCCTGGGTCTTACACTACTTAAAGGATCATGGGACTTAGTAACCAGGGGTATTATTAAGCTAATTATAGTTATAACCCCAACTAGGGTACTTATAACCTTACTTACTAAATCCCAGGACCCTCCAAGTAGGCTGCAACCCTAAACCCTAAACCTTGAATGCAATATCCAATAGCTGCGCCACACCCCAACATCTAGAAACGACTACACCAAGACATAGCCTCGAAAACTAAAACCCTACCTGGACCGTGAAGAACCTTCCATTTTAGGGTTCCCTAACATAACTTCCGACTATAAGTCCTCAAAAAAACTAGGTTCTTCAGAGTTAAGGTGCACCGTATACCCGGAACCGCGAGTGCACGGCCGTATTGTCGGCCCTCCAGGCGCCCTTTTTTGTGCAAAACACAGTTTGGGGTTTTGGGGTTTTGGGTGTTGGGGTTTACGGTTTAGGGGGGTTTAGGGTTTAGGGTTTAAGGTTTAATCAACGACAAAACTTGAGTTTGGCACAAAGACCCGTGACTGGGCACCCAAGAGCAGGTTTAGGAGTTTAGGAGTTTAGGGTTTAGGGTTTAGGAGTTTAGGGTTTAGGGTTTAGGAGTTTAGGGTTTAGGGTTTAGGAGTTTAGGAGTTTAGGGTTTAGGAGTTTATGGTTTCGGGCTAAGGGGCCCTAAAGCACAAAACTCTTTTCGGTCCGCGCTGGTGATGAAGGGCCCAAAACTGACCGTGAACCGTTAGGATCTTAGGGCTTCTAGTTTAGGGTTTCGGACTCCCATATGGGTGGTTGTCAAAAGTATGGCCCCCGAAACCCTACACCCCAAAACCCCCTGGCTCTACCCGCAAACCCTTAGAGCCCGTCGCAGCTCAGCCTTGAAGGGAAGCCGCTGGAGCTTGCCTTGAACTGAACTGCTCGTACTACGGCGGATGATACAAATCCTGCATTACCTTAAGGATCCTAACCTATGGGAATTCTGGTATATGCCTTATTATGGGTCACGCAGGATTTTGTACTATTAATATGACTTGGGCAAGTATCCGCCATAATAGTACCTAAGGTACCCCTACTTTTCGGAAACTCCCATATGGTAGAACGCCAGGTCCCAATAATGGCAATTACCATAATGACTTGGGGAAGTATCCCCCATGATAATACCTACGGTTGATGATATAAATCCTGCATGACCCAGAATGAGGACTATACCATACTTGCCGTAGTTTAGGGCCATTAAGGTAATGCAGGATTTATATCATCAACCGTCGCGGTACTGTCTGGTGCTTAGTAGGGAATTGGGGAATGGATCCGTATAGAGGCCCCTATATAATCCCCAATAGTAAGTGTGTGTATGCAAATAAAGAATACTTGGACATCAAAACTCCTTGTATGAATCCTATTATTATTCTTTAGTAGTTTTTTGGGAGGGGGGGTTAGGCCCAGGGTTTCTGAATCAGGTTCCTAGATTGGAATCATTGTATGATCCCTGTAGAGTTGTTGGAGCAGTATACCGCCCCAACCCCTTCCAATCAAAACAACAAACAGCACACACCGCATAACTTACCCTGACACGGCGGTATGTAAACTGCAAAAAACGTGAACCCTAAATGCTCCAAGAAGGAAGCCCTGAACTTAATTCCGAAAACCCCAAAACTCTGAACCCTAACTCCTCAACACTACAGCTCTTGACCACTCCCAAGCTACAAGATCCTCAACGAACATAAGGAATCCCAGCACTATTTGGCCTTAATCCGGTTTCCAACTTTATGGGGTTTACTGTAAACCCAAAGCTGCAAAGACAAAATACCTCATGGACAAACTACCTCATGCCCGAACCCAACCTCCGAGCACCCCGTAGCATCAGCCCTCAGCCCTGCGGGCACAGGTTTAGGGTTATATAGGGGCCTTAATAATGAGAATACAGTATAGGGTTTCAGCGCCCGGACTACTACATAGAATTATAGTAAGGACCCACCAATACTACATATATATATATATATATATATACATGTGTATATATATATATAGATATACATATATATGTATATAGAGATATATCTGTCGCTCGCTCGCTCTCTCTCTCTCTCTCTCTCTCTCTCTCTCTCTCTCTCTCTCTCTCTCTCTCTCTCTCTCTCTCTCTCTCTCTCTCTCTCTCTCTCTCTCTCTCTCTCTCTCTCTCTCTCTCTCTCTCTCTCTCTCTCTTTTCCAATACAGAATATATAGCTAATTACTAAGGCCCCTATATTACAGGGTTGGGAACCCGATGATTGCAGGTATGCTTCTGGAGTTCTAGACTTTGAAGTGACCAGGGGGAAAAGTGTAGACGTTTGTTTCATAATGGTTCGCTTAAGGAACATGTACCAAAAAAGTATTCAAGTATGGTTTTTCGAAGCCCAGTTAGTTACTACCCATAGGCTCCATTGTAGCTCCTTTTCGGGACTGCCTGTCGGATTCTAAGTATGAACCCACAAAAAACGAAAAGGAACTATTATGGAGCCTACGGGTAGTACTACGCCTACAAATGCTTCGATAAGAATAAGTTAGTTGCTATTACTACAACTACAAATACCGTGATAAGAATATCTAAACATTCCCTAAACCCTAAACATAACCAGTTTTTACTATGAAAACAAAAATTAGGACCGGAGTCCGAGCCCTCAGTGTGCAGCCGATGGACGCAGCAAGTCCATGCCAGCCGCACCTGCAGCGCAACTCAGCAGTGTTGGGTTTACGGCATTTCTCAACGAGGAGATAGGCTTGATGGGACGAAGGCATATAATGCTTCAGACGAGAGCAGCCGCAAACGGCTTGGAGTCACCGGAATTCATGGATTTACCCTACAGTTCATGAATTCAGGTAGAATTCTTCGGCCTTAAAAGAGTCCCCAATAGCCCCCATATAGGTACTCTGCCGCCAAAGTATTTCTATTTGGGCACATGGACCCTTAGGGTTAGGGGTTTAGGGGATGTAGGGATGTCCGGCAATTCAAAGCTGGGGTGTGGAAATTGAGTGGAGCACACAAGCCCCCTGTATACTAAATACTTGCCACCCCAAGCCCGTAAACCCAATATCCGAGGTTCTGCATCAGAGGTTCACCTGCATAACCACCACTTTCCCAAGCCCCTCTGTCTGCCTGTTTGGGTCTTCGGACCCTATATATAAGTCTTGGAAGTTAGACTGTCGGGCGTGGAGTTGCGCCCAGAGTTGATAGATGAAGAGGGTTACTCTTCAAGGCTCACTGCAACGACAAACTTTACCGCATTATGGTCTGTGGCTACAGAAGTGGAGAGAGAGAGAGAGAGAGAGAGAGAGAGAGAGAGAGAGAGAGAGAGAGAGAGAGAGACAGACAGAGAGCTCCCGTTATCCATTTATTCAGAATCTACTTATTGCTTGCTGAGCTTCGGGTCCTTGGAGCACAAGAAGAGGAATTTGCTCGAACCATTGCGATTCACTTTGCGGATATTTGATGTAGCTGACCTGGATCACGAACACCACCAATAGGTGGCCTAAATGATGAGTTGTGGGATATCCTGTCTACAGTATCATCCTGTCGAATATATGCGGCGACGGTCATCAATTACTCGGATCCTAAAGCTCTAAATCCAAACCCCTCAAACCGCCAAAACCTTAAACCCGATGGCCCAAAGCCAAGCCTCCCTTCTGTGCCGCTGCCCATGCGATGCGGTCGCCAACGATGACATCGATATCGAGGGAATCCAGGAAGGCCTTCCGCTCCATGCGGCTAGCTTCGGGGCTTTATCATGCCCGTCATAATTGGAGCTGAAGGGGGTTCTTGTGATGGGGCTTTTAAGGGAACTATGGACTTTCTGCAGGGTTTTATAGCTGTCTTAAGGGTCCAAAGGATCCAAAAATTAGGCAACTTCTCATTTCGGATAGTGGTTGCGAAGGTTAGTGTTGGGAGATTTTCTAATTCTCAGGTACTTGGACCCTTAGGGACAGAGCCTCGACACTCTTGGATCTAGGCTTGCACATGGGTAGTTGTCAAAGTTGTGGTCCCTTTTTGGGTACCCTGAATATTAGGTGCCGTATTCTATTAAGGACCCACAAAGGGGCCCTATTTTTGATAACCACCCACATGCAGGATCCAATCTTTGGGGCTTACGCTTTTGCGAAGACTGTTCCCTAAGGGTCCAAGTCAGCGTTATGTATGGTTTTGATGCCTAAAAGGCCCTAAAGTCCTATAATAGGGAGTACTTGCACCCTCTGGGGTTGTGGGTCTCGTGTCTTGCTGTCCTCCAAATATGGGGGATGGCAAGTTTTCCAGGTTTCATGTTGAGGAGGGCCGGTCAAGACTAGGCTGGCTCTTCGTGTCCGAGCAGTGGCAGCAATAGATGCAATGCAACAGCAATGGCAAGGTACATGATCCTGCCAGCACACTCGAAAGGCCGAAGGCAAATGCACTTTATCGCATCTGGAGCAATCTCTGCAGCGCTAATTGGTGGACTATATCATCGTCAGACTCGGTGGAGATTCTTTTGGCTGTTCAGCTCAAGCTACTGCCCTGCAGACCCAAGTACATCACTAGCAGGGAATATTAGGCCTGCGCAGTTCACCCCTGCACAGGGGCGGGCACCTCTGCGCCAGAGAAGCACTCGTCCCAAAAGGGATCCTGGAAGTGGATTGCGTCGTTAGGAGGTTTCGGCTCTAAGGTTTCGGGTTTGAGGCCCTAAACCCTAAACCCTAAACCCTAAACTAGGGTTTAGGGTTTAGGGTTTAGGGTTTAGGGTTTAGGGTTTAGGGTTTAGGGTTTAGGGTTTAGGGGTACATACCCTGGGTTTGGTGTAAGGGTTGGGGTGCGAGGGTCACTTAGGGTCTGAGTGCTAGGGCCGGGGAATTTGGAATCACTTCAAGGCAGTTTCTATCTGCGTCACAAAAATCGGAACCGTAGACCATAAAACCCAAGGCCCTAACCCACCTTATCTCTGTAGTCGCCTTTAAGTACACTTTGAATTCTGGAACGTCAACCAAAACACAGTTGCCGTAATGACCGTAATGTTTGGGCCCATATTGGGAGCTGCATAGACGTTAGGGATATGAGTGGACGTTCTTTAAACATTGCGGCCTTTATGTTGTAGAGATTATGGTCTAAGTTAACGGGCTCAGGATTGAGGGTGAGGGTTTGATTTGGGTTCAGAGCTGCAGATTCCGGACAATGCTTTTGGTGCATCTGCAAAGCCCTCAAGCCATGTGACCTACTTAAATCCCAAACGAAGGTATATACGGCCTGATCAAAAGCAATCGAAACCCTAAAGCTGTAACCAAACTCTGCTGGATCCTCCAAGACCAAGCACTCTCCAGCGGAACTGCGCCTCTAAACCGCGAACCCACCCCCGCCGAGCCCCTAAACCTTACACCATGACCTCCCTTTGAGGCCCCAAATCAACACAAGCACAAATTAGGATAGGAATATCCCAGAAGAAAACCCTTAAAATGAAGCCCAATCAGGCAGGGACATCCCCGGTAAAATGCTTGTGCTTATGTCCTTTTTGGGTCCCCAACCCTTACTTGGAGGATCATGAAACTTAGTGAGTAAGGCTATAAGTATAGTTACCCTAATACTAGCCCCAATTATACTCGGTCCCATGATCCAGTAAGTACAGCCTAAAGCATCGAAACCCCCTCCAAAACCCTGAGCGCGCGCCTTCTCCAGCGGCGGCGGGATCTCCACCAAAGGGGGCTCGGGCTCCGCAGGGGCGCCCGCCTTTGCCACCTGTGGACGGCATGAAGCGAGAATAAAACACCGCGTTCGCTGCTGTAAGCCCCCCAAAGGGTCCAAGTGCTGGAATAGTATATACTTTGGGGGCCCAAATACCTGCTATAGTGGTACTTGGATAGGTTAATAACGTACAGAAGTCGTGCGGTCTCCTGTTCGACTACATGGTGGGTTCAGCAGCTGCAAATGTCCGGTGCAGGGTGTCAAGCTGCGCAGAATGTGTGTCCGCTCGTCTCCAAGCAAAGGTCCAACATGATCGCCTCTTCTGATGTAGGAGTTAGGATTACGAAGACTCCTTGACAATATAGAGCCTCTCAATAAGGACCCTCTTTAAGAGAGCCCGAAGTAGGGTTAAGAAGGCTCCCCTTCAAGGTGTCTACCTAATACCCAGAGGGTCCATATATACTACCATTATGGGACGAGGTCCCAAAAGACCATCCTCATTCTATCTTTTGGGACCTAATTCCATAATAGTAGTGCATATGGACCCTCTGGGATACTACTTAGGATGATGAAGTTCGACAGGAGAGTTTGCTGCCACAGCCTTGCGTTCCAGCAAGACGTTGCATCCCTGTCGCCATGAAGTCCGGTTCACTCCGGCAGAGCGGCTGTCTTCGGTTGGGGTCGGATGATGTGCTGCTGGCTCATGGATTAAGCATGAGGGTTCGGAAAAAAAACGAGTGAAGGGATGGCAGATTGTGGCAGATTTGGGCCGAAGGATGAAGATATGTGCTTGAATGAGCGGATCAAGACTGGTTGTGGAAAGATCGAAGCTTAAGTTAAGGTGTAAGGACGAACAGCGGCATATGGTTTAGGATGGTTCAGGGGACCTTCAGAAACCACGGCGACAGTCCGGATTACTATACGGCTCCGAAGGTCTTCTATTGAAGGCACGGGCCTGTGGCAAAGAGCTGCATGACATTATGGGCGGCCGAGAAATACCTGACATACGGGCCTTAATAATTCTGATAGGGTTCTGGGGCCCATTATACCATAATTGTAACAAGGAATTTCCCGGATATTGTTGCTAATTGTTAAGGCCGCCATATTACACACTTGCCGACAGAATTCCAGAAGGATATCCGAAAGCAGAGATTGCAACCATTCAAGAACATCCGCAAATATCTCTGGACGAAAACACCAGAGTCATATACAAACAAGAACCGCTCATAAAACCATTACGCTAGTGAAGCCACTTCTGCAACGTGAAACACCCTAAACTACCAAACCCTACTTTTTGTAGGTTCTTATTATAAACTCTAAATATGGACTTTAGAGGGACCCTACAAAAAAAGGTAGGTTTTGGTCTGTTCAGGCAAGCCCTGCCAGAAAGCCCCCTATGATCGCCTTGCCCTTCCTCTTGCCGGCAGCCTTCTCGAACTTTGCCTCAGCTACGTAAGGATGCGTGGCTCCGATACGATTTTAGACCGGGTTTAAGGCTGCAGGGTATATCCCTAAACCCGAAACCCCAAACCGCGCACCCTAAACTCCGAAACCCTAAGCCCTAAACCCCTGAAACCTCAGCCCCCTGAGCCCTAAACCCTCAACCCTAAACCGGAACCCTAAGCCTTAAACACCTAAAGGGAGTTTCAGAGATTTAAGAGGCATCGAGGTCAGGACGTGGATCAGTCCAATTCTGTTGGCACCCTGGTTGCTCTTCACAAGCATAGGCTTGAGGGCACACCCATGCACAACGCTCTAAAGCACACAGCAAAAGACCTCATCTTGCACTTAAACTGAATACTTGGACAGGATGTTGCGACATAGCGTGTAATACTATAGGGACCATCAGGACTTCGATACGTGACAATGCAGACCGCCGTGCTAAGCTGGCCGTCGAAAACACAAATATGAAGCCTGAACCCGCATGCCCAAAGTAGTACTGTTGATGGACAAAATCCTGCATGACCCTAAGGACTCTAAACTATGGGAACTATGGTATATTCCTTATAATGGGTAATGCAGGATTTTGTCCATCAGCAGTATCATATTGATAATGGAAGGCTATACAGCGACTTTATTACAAGGGGCCGCTCTTCCTGCTTATTCAGACCTCTTTACCCAAACCATAAACCCCTAAACCGTCAAGCCCTAAACCCTAAAGCCCTAAACCCTGAGCCCCTAAACCCTAGAAACCTATGTAGCCTGCACGATGAAAGCAGTGCCAGGAGTCCCTCTCCCTGGCAGCTGCCATCTCTGCCTTCTTGCGCTCCTGGTCAAGCTTTAAGGTTTAGGGTTTAAGGGTTTAGGGCTTATAGGGTTTAGGGTTTAGGGCTTATAGGGTTTAGGGTTCTAGGGTTTAGGGGTTTAGGGCTTATAGGGTTTAGGGTTCTGGGGTTTATAGGGTCTAGCGGTTCAAAGGGCCTAGGGTCAAGGACTGACTTTTCCTTCTTGGAGCTGAAAGAGGTTTGGTCTTAGGCGTTAAAAGCTTAAGAGTCGAGATTAAGGGGTTTCGGGTTTCGGGTAGCGGTTGCTGGTTTCGTGTCTTGGGGGTTTAGAGGGTTGCGTTTTCGGGTTGATGTCCGTCTACGCTCGAGAAAAGAGTGGTATAGGCTCTGTGATTAGGGCTTGGAGCTGGGACCCAGTCAGATAATCCCAACCTTCAAAGCCTAAAACATCAACGGCCCTGAACGCTCTCTCGGCGCATCTGCCTTGCCCCGAGAAGCCTGAAAACCTTAACCGTCGTTGAGAACCCTGAATCCGGTCCCTGTCAGCCAGCTTGTCAGCTGCCCTCTTGCTCTGGATCTTCCTGGGCTCGGCGGAGGGCGAAACACGTGGGTCAAAACGGATTGCGGCTAGGAGCCCTTAAAGGAACCCTTGCAGTAGCTCTTAAAGGAACCCTTCTAGTAGCTCTTAGAGGAACCCTTATAGTATCTCTTAAAGGAACCCTTATAGGAGCCCTTAAGGGAACCCTTATAGTAGCTCTTAAAAGAACCCTGATAGTAACCCTAGAAGGAACCTCTTGTGAAAAGCTTGGGTCAAAGAATTGCAGCTACTTGCCCTACTTGAAGGTTCAAGTCCATCAGTGAGGGTTATAAGTATATAGTTATCCTACATATACCCTCACTGAAACTCTAAGTAAACCCACGAAGCCCGAAATCCCAAGCCCTAAACGCCGAACTCTAAACCCTAAACTCTCAGATCGCTAAACCTAAGAGCTCTAAATGTAAAACCCTGTAACCCTAAACACTAAGATTTTCTGTTTGGGAGCTTAAGGCTTAGACCGCTCTGGCCTAAGCGCTGGGGTTGAGGACCCCAATTGTACCCCAAAGCCATTAGGATTCGTAAAGTAAGGGCTAAGGAATAGGGTTTAGGGTTTAGAGTTTAGGGACTTAGGGTTTGATGGTTTATGCGGTCATGTGCGTCCAATCGTACAGCAAAACGCTCGCCGGCTTTGTCGAATAATAGGATACAGGCCCAGGCACCGGATAGGTAGGTCACCCTAATTTAGGGTTTAGGGTTACACTCCAAACTCTAACCCCTAAACCCAGGATGAATCCAGAGTTCAGCGCGCCTAGGGAGTTCTGATGAAGTATCTTCAGGAGAAATACGATACTTGGATCACCGGGCTGGCAGCACGGTGTCAACAAAGTTCCAGTTCATCACGTAGAAAACCGTGTGCCGTGGACCACAAACCCTAAACACTGAAACCCCAAACCCTGAACCCTAAACCCTGAAACCTAGTTTGCATGGACTCTTTCTAAGGGAGGGCCTCGCCGGGTGGTCAAACTCGGAGGAACCCTAAACTTATTTCTGAACCTCTAAGCCTAAGCGCCAAACCCAAACACTAAGGGTCCAGGTGCCCAAACATTATGTACGTTGGCTCCACATCGCGTAGATGAGGACTACTTCGAAGCTAAAGTCTATACCAGATGGGCACATGGAGCCTGATGGAGTGGGGACTGACAGTTCAACGGCCCTGCCTTTTAAGGACTTTTTTGCAAACCTCATAACAAGGAATCTTAAAAGGGCAGGCTTACAGTTTACAGGGTCCCGCTCAAGCCCCAAGGCCTCGACCCCAAACCCTAATTTAATTAAACTTTAAACACCATGCCCTAAACCCCAAACCTCAAAGACACCAAAAAACGCCTATAGATGTCTTATTAGTACCCTGATAGATCCCTTTGAAAAAAACCCTGATAAAACCCCTAAAACTTCAAAGATCCCCCAAAACGCCAAACCCCCAACCCTAAACCCTAAACCCTTAAGATCCCTTCAAAGGACCCCCTTGCAGATCCCTTTATAGGATCTCTTTAACGGAACCCTTATAAAACCCTCCAAAGATGCCCCAAAACGCCTGTAGATCCCTTAGAGTACCCTTATATACATCCCTTTAAGGGAACCCTGATAAAACCCCTAAAACCCCAAAGAAGATCCCTTTAAAGCAACCCTGATGTAAGAAAAACCCTGAAAACCACAAAGATGCCCCAAAACGTGCCCAGGCATCTTCAACTTCCAGGTCTTGAAGCTCTTGCGAGGCTTCTTCGTGTTCTGAGCCTCAGGGGTGTAGGGGGTTCATGTCTTGGGTTTGGGTACCTTTAAGGGGCTCTTTTTAAGGGTTCTGTAGGGATTTAGGGTTGACTCTAAACTATCGGAACTAAGTCCTTATCATGGGTAACGCAGGATTTTGTCCATCAACAGAATGTCTTGGGTTTGGGTATCAAGGGTCCTAGATGGGGTCCTGAGGTCCTTTGAAGGGATCTACAATGTCTTGGGTTTAGGGTGTAAGGGGTAGGGTTTTCGGTTCCGGGAGGTTTCTGTCTGGGTGTAGGGTGTAGGGGTCTTGGGTTTAGGGTGTAGCGTTTTGGGCTTTCGGTTCAGGGTTTGGGGTTTAGGATGTGGCGGCTGGAAGTTGTGGATCGCTTCATGCACGCATTTACGCTGAGGCCTACCTAAGACAGTGCTCCCATATACGCAGCCTTGGGCACACATGCTTTGTTGTGAGGGGGGGAGGGGCGGCTCCCTAGCCAGCTGAGCATCTGTGATAATTAAAGACCTCCGATGTCTTGATTCGCCGGGTTTAGGGTTTAGGGGAGTATTCCAAAAACCAACATAATAGAATAAGTGCGGTGGCCCTACAAGCAGCGTGAATATCAATCAAGGGTGCGCAATACCACGCCTTTTCTAAACATGTTCAATCCAGGCAGTGCCAGGATGTTAGACCCTTTAGGGTCTTTAAGAATAACGATGATCATCAGTGACATAAGTATTTTACAGGTTTGCTCGTGCTGTCACCAAAGTTAATTCAACCAAATCACGAAACCTCAAACCCGAGACAACCCCAAACCCCCAAAGCCATGACCAATAAAACCACATCATAAACCCTATACCCTCAAAACAATCCCTCACTCAAGCCCTCAACTTAAACCCAAAACCCTATACCCCTAAACGCCTAACCCCTACACTCCCAATTTGCAGTTTGGGGGCTTCCTCGGTCTTTGACCACTCGTCCACCTCCATGGCGAATGCCTGGAAGGCCTTTCAGGTTAAGGGCGAAGGTTTAGAGTTGAGGGTTTAGGGGTTGGGGGTTTAGGGGTTTAGGGTTTAGAGCCATTAAGGAGGTTCCTTAAGGGTTTCCTTTGAAGGCTCCTTGAAGGGCTCCCTTGAGGGATGCAATACCAGAGTTGCAGGGTCAAGGTCTTAAGGATGGTTTTTCTTTGGGGCTCATACGCAGAGAGCCCTGCATCCCTGAAGTATAATTGAGGATTGCGGCTGTGGGGTTTGAGGCTTCAAGGCTTTCCGGGGTCAGGGGTTCAGGCTTTGTAAAGAATTAGGGGTTTATGCGCTTCCATTCTGTAATTAATTAACTCCTACAGCCGAAACCCCAACTAGAAAGTTTCCTCTTTGGGGCTTCGGCTTCAGGCATGTCAACTGTCTGAGGGATCTCAATGAAAGAGTCGCTAAGGAACAGCGGGAGACACAAAACCCCAATACGGAATATAAACCCCCATCCATAATCAAAGCCCAACAAAATCCGAAAACAAAATCCGCAGACAAATCCCTATAAAAAAAACTGTAAAAACCGTGCCTTAATCCGAATCAACCCCTACCCGCGCCGAGGCTGTGAACCCACGTTCCGAAAAGGCCTCACTCGTCTTCCATGCAGCGAGCTCCTCGTGTGTTCCAGTCGCGATTTCCCCAAGGGTCCAAGTACCCAATAATCATATACTCTCCAAAATCATAACCTACATAACTAATATCCTAAAACCGAGTACCTGATTATTGGGTCCTTTGGACCCTTGGGTTAGATTCAGGGCTTTAGGGTTTACAGGAAGGGTCTAGGCTTTAAGTCTTAGGCTGTAGACGTTGAGGATTCCAGGCTTTAGGGTTCAGGTTCAGGACCAGGATTTTAGGGTCTGTGGTTGAAGCGGTTAGGGTTTAGGCGATTTAGGGTTTCTGAGGGTTTAGGATTTAGGCTTGCGGCGTCGCGGCCTTGCCGTGGTTCTTTTCAGCAAGCACACGGCAACAAAAGAAGGAACTTCAATGGATGGGTCACTCAGGAAACGAATGTGCAGGGAACGGGTCTTTCTTAAGGTCCCACGCCTCCTTTCTGTGACTTCCTGCCCTGACAATTGTTTTTGCTGCCCTCCCAAACACTCAGGAAACTGTCAGCACTCACGTGCGAGACCGGGTATCATCTATCACAACAACAAAACAACGCTTCCGTAGGTTAGGGTTCTCAAGTGATTGTCGGATGTTGCCGTAATTCTGGAACCCGCAAGCCTCAAACCCCCAATTAAACCTTAAACCCTCGGGTCCAAGCAGCCCTCTTAGGTTTTTTTGGGGAGCGGGGGTTGCGGGTGGCGGCTTAGGGTTTATGATTTAGAGCTAGGTTAGGTTTATCTGATGTAGTTCTTCGCGTTAGGGACCAGGGTGTAAAACATTGCGCGGGAGTCGTGGAGTTTGGAGCCAAGGGTTGGGCTTCAGGGCTAGAGGAGGTGGGGATTAAGGGCTTAAGGCCTAGAATTCAATCTCTACCGCTTTAGGATATAGTTTGCTACATTTGCGTTTGCGGGGCTCAGCAATGGCGGTAGTTCTTGGATATGGAAGGCTTTGGGTACTGCCTCAGTACAAACTCGAGCCTGTCCTCAGCATACTTCTTCCTGAGGTCCAGCTCCTGCTGCTTGTACTTAGCCTGGCCGGGTGAGCGTCAGGGTCTGGGCTTAGACGGGCTTACACGGCGCCATACACCAAGCGGTGATGAAGCGACTGTGTTGGATTATACTGTCTAGACCTTATGCTCGAAATGCAAAACCCAGCTGACAGAAGAGCCATAAACTGCACGGGCCAGGCAACCTAGAGACTCTCCAATACCCCTTAATTGAGGAATTTACCTTAAATTGTAATAGGACCCCTAATATGATGTAAAGAAGATTCCTTCATAAAGTGATATTCGAGTCTCTGGGAAGCACAATGCAACGAACGGCATTGACGTGCATCTTCAACCCACGAGTTTGGATGGGAGTGGTCCTACAGCTAGGCTTTCAACGAAAGCCTTCCCAAGAAGCAAACACCCTGTGCAAAAATGGCCCTCGTCGAAGCCTTTGAAGATCTTGTTGGCTTTATAGAGTTCCTGGAAACCTTCTTGCGTATTTTCACCAGAATCCTACCCCAAAAATTCCTAAGTCCTAGGCCCAAAAGACCTACCTGTTAACTGTTAACTGAAGGAAATACAACTATATATAGACAGCATCGTAGGGCACCCGAAGAAGGTAGGTCTTTCGGTTACAGGTAAGCCCTAAACCCATAACTCACGCATCTTTGTGGGATTCTCAGCCTTCTCCTCCTCTGATGCCTCGTTCCACTTCGTCGCCAGCACCTTCAAAACCTCGAAGCGAGGTTTGGGGTTTCGGGGTTAGGGTTTATAATTACCCTAAACTACCAAACCCTACTTTGTTGTAGGTTCTTATTATAAACCCTCATATGGAACTTATAGGGACCCTTCAAAAAAAACAGGTTTTGGTGGGTTAAACTTAGGTAGAAGATCTTGGGGGTTGTGGGCTTTGGGAGGGTTTTCGGTTTTTAGTTTGAGGGTTAGGCGTCAGGCACTTCCGTTGGCGACTTTTTTTGGGCAAATTTTCGTGCGGGGTTTGGGGCTTAGGCTTTGGGATTTAGTATAGGGTTTGGGTTTGGGGTTTAGTATAGGGTTTAGGGTTTGGGGTTCAGTATAGGGTTTAGGGTTTGGGGTTTAGGGTTTGGGGTTTGAGGTTTAGGGTTTGGGGTTTAGGGCTTGGGGGTGCAGGGTGAGGAGATTAAGGCCTAACCTTAGACTTGGGGGGCTTAGAGTTGGAAGGCTCAGGGTTGGAACGCACCCTCAACGAAAGAAGCCTTACTGTGGTGCGGACAAGGCATTTGGCCTGAATTCCACCGAGATTACTAAGAACCAGCGGTTTGAGCCTAACCAGGGTTCCTCACAACTGACGATGCATGGCGAGGCTCAGAACGCATATTCTTAATATCCATGATTGCCCATGTACAGCCTACTACCCAGAAGACGCTTGAAACTGCCCAAGTTGTCGACCACCCCGCAACTCTAAGCCCGAAATACACCTTATTCCCCAAATCCCCTTTTGAATCCCCTAATATAGTCCGGCAACGAATATTTAGGGCACCCGAAAAGGGACAATAATTTTGACAACCACCCATGTGCCAATACAGGTATATTTAGGGTTTAGGGTTTTAGGCTTTATTTTGAAGTGCACTGGCCCCTTTCTTCAAGGGTTTAGGGTATCGTATATGCCTAGCTATATAGTATATTCTTACGCCTCAAACCCTTCAGCCTAAGTATAAACTTTGTAAGCACATGGAGCCTTAGGGTAAAAAAGGCTGGGCCGCAGGCTCCTTCGTTGTCTTTCCCCTAGGGCCAGTGCCCAATAATCATATACTCTGCCAAAAACTTTCCTTCAAAGGGTGTATTGAAAACCTCTAAAAGGAAGCCCCATAAGGTATTAGGGTTTAGGGTATAAGGGTCCATGTAGCCAAACAGTATATACTTTTGGCTTAAAGTAGTCCCTGTATGTGTACTTTGGGAGCCTAAATGAGTTCCTACTTGGGCACATGGACCCTTATAGAGCTCGGTTAATTGCTGTAAGGCGTATAAGGCCTCTAAATAAAGCAGGAAGCATGCCCTGCGCAGGAATGTCAACATCGAGCATATGTACGGGACCCGTATATGATGAAACCTGACTTTGTGCTACGGTAGACACCAGTTAGGGCAGGCAAACACAGACTACGATTACTGTGGAGGGTTGTGCGCTTAATTCGCCTCGGCCCCGGCCGAAGCGGTCAGAGGTTCCTATTCGGATTCTCCTATTCCCCACCTCTTAATCCCCCCCCCCAGTGACCCCACCCCCAAAATGCTGGCCACCGCCCCCCCCCCCCCTAAAAAAATGGAAACGTGTCGATGAGCCCCAAGGTCCGGCGGTGAATTTTCGCCTTTTGTAAGCAGTCCCACCCAATTTTCTTCGCTTCCCTCCCGTCGACCCTCCCCCCCCCCTCCCCTACCCCCCTCCCCCCCTCCCCCCTCTCCCCCCCCCCTCCCCCTGTGCCTATACACCCACAAGGAAATGCTCCTTGTTAGGAGGTGTATGACCAGTTTATTCCCTAAGGATCAAAGGGCAGCGCCCTGCACACGGACAGTAGTTGTTTTGTCTTGCTACGCAAGGAGAGCTTGTCTTGTCTCAATATGGTAAAACCACTGTGAGCCAATGGGCAGCGGAATGTATATGTATGAGCATGCAGCCATTGCTGTAGGTACCTGTTAGAGCTACCCCTTTAGAGGTTTACGGAATCAAACAGACACTAATTTTCTTTTACCGGAAGCATGGCCGCACATTCACACATATACTATTATGCCCACTGTCACAGTTGCGGAGTTTGGACTCATGATAAAAACAGCATATTGTTTATGCTAGGTATAGCACTGAAGTACACTGTTGAGGTCACTCCTTTTGCACACACTCATGCATGTTGGTCAGAGAGATCATCTGTACAAGATCAGGTCTGGTAATGTTCTTCTACCGAATTATGCAGCCCTTCATTGTGCTCTTGTTAGAGCTTTGTGAGTCACTGTTGTGAAACTCTGAGAATTTTCTTATCTCAGATTCGGATCCAGGTTTGGATCATAGGCTCGAGCATAGACGTTCGGATGTGGTTCATCCGGGTCTGAGTGATCTTCTTCGGAACTTGAAAAGATTCCGAGTAATCTGTTCTCAGCCCTGGTGAAGGCGGCGTCTGCAGTGTCATATCCATGGTTGGATGTAGTCGCCTTTGGCTCGGCCTTTGGTGCAGCTTGTGAGCTGATTGGAGTTGCCTCGGCTTTAGCCGGTTGTGGCTGCTTAGCCTTTGCCCGTTCGGCCCTTCTTCTTTCAAGCTGTCCGTCCGAGGACGCCCATGATCTTTCACTTTCATCTCCTGAAGGAGATAAGGCGTGGGCATGAAGGCTGTTCCAGTACTGTGCTGCAGAAGGAGTTAGGACTTCTTCATGGTCAGATTCTGACTGGTCTTCCTCAGAGCTTTGGTCGTCAAAAAGTGTCTCAAGGACATTTTTGAGGTTTTTATGTCTTCGCTCTATCTCTAGTGAGGAATGGACCAATTGATTGAAGACTGTTTTTGAGTCCTTCAGTGCTGTTAGAAGGATTTCCACTCTGGATAGAGTATCTTGGATGGTGTCAAGATGATCCTTTCTTTCCTCCTTGTCTCTCTGGATAGAGTTTCGCAATGATTGTGCGATTCTGAGGAGGTCGAGATATTTCTGAATAGGCATAGTTGCCGTATGATTGTCATGTATGACAGTTGTTTCGTCGCTGCTCAAGTTCCTGAATAGGACTTCCACGACTGGTAGAAACTCCGTGCTCCACGGTTCCTCTTCATCATATGTTTCTACATGCTGTTGCACGCGTTGCGTAAACTGCTCGGCTGCTTCTACCGTTGCATCGATAGAGCTGACGTGTCTTACTGCCATGTTTCGGCACATAGTGTTAATGGCCTGGCCTTGATTGGCTTCGCCAAGTGCAGCGTCTGCATGGTTGCAGAGTCCACTGTTATGGGCTTCTCTAGCTGCTTTTCGTTGAATGCGCCGATTTTGACCTCCTCTTCTGGTAGGACCTTTTGGTCTCGGAGGATCTGAAGGTACTGTTCCTTTCGCCTTTGGCGGAGGAGACTTAGGTGGAGGTGACATGTTTGCCTTGTTAGGCACTGGTGGCATTGCCTTGGGCACTGACGACGATGAGGCACTTGCGAGTGCAGATGTACCTCTGGCTCTTGCCGAGGATCCCTTAGGGATTGATGTATAGGTAATCTGCATGGCTTCTTCGGCCATTTGTGAATGCAATGCATCACTGAATAATTGCCTCATATGAGGAGTAGTACTTGCATCGTCATAGGTTTGAAACCGTTCAATGTCCCTTTCGGTGCCACGTGATCGTGTATCACCTCTTTGAAAAGGATCGTTCCTGCGAATCTCCGCAACTTGTACTGCCTGGAGGCAGGTTTTACACAGCACCTTCCTTGAAACATCTTTTGCTTGCTTGAGCTGGTAACAGCTGTCTGAAAGATGGTAGACTTCGCTTCGGGAAGTGTGCCACACAGGTCGCAAATCCGTTGTTTCTCCAGAATTGACCCTGTTGGGTCCTAAAGGTTCACGCGTCTGTGGTTCATTCTCGGGTTCGAGAAATGGTGGTGGTCGTTTCGCTGCTGCTTTTGCATTTGATTGTTGGCGGTCCATACATCTGATGGGAGCCCTGGTGAGCTGCTTCCACATCCAGTGTAGGCCCATTAGCAGCAGAAACACATTCCACGCGATGCTGAAGACGGAGAAGTCTTGCTCACTGGTTAGTGAGTTGGGAAGTGAAGGTTCATCAGTCTTGATAGACTCTGCGTTCGCTCCACCGTGGTTACGGTGTCCGAACCAGCCCGACAACCCCGCTGCTGTGGCAGCTGTTCTGAGTGCCTTGCCGCTCGGAGCAGACGGTGGGCGTGATGCCTTCCTTCTTCTCCTCCGGCTGGAGGATTCGTCCTCTTGTTCCTCTTCATCTCTCTGAGCAGACATCAAGTTTGATGTTTCTCTTTCGTGTTCTTCGATGTCACTCTTTGTTGGAGAGTGTTCTTCTTCTTGTTGTTCCTCAAGTGTGTCCAGTTCCTCTAAAGACATGTTGAGCTTGTCAACAATATTGGTTCTTTGAGGTCTGGACCTTGATCTTGGTAGATCTTGTTGTGAAGAGGACGATGATGCCTGGCTCCTTCTTGGAGGAGGGCCTTCAGGCTCACTGGGACGTTCAGGCCTCGGCCTTTCCCAGAATCTTCCATATCTGTGATAGCTACCTTGTGGTTGCTGTTTGTCGTACCAGCTGTTGCCGGATGAATACACAAATGAGTCTTTGTAATCCCAGTATTCAGCATTACGCTGCTTGTAAGCCTGTCGCTTGTTAGCGATCTTCTGAACCTGGGCATCTGACCGGTTGTGTTTCCCTTTTGTAAGGATTGGTTGTATCGTGAAGCCCAAAGGGCTGTGCCAATCTTTGTCAGAGGGGCTCAACCATAGGTCAAGGTTAGAAAAAGTTGAATAGTACTGCTTGACTGAGACAAACAGACGGATATCGACATCCCTGTTTTTGTTCATGTCCTGCCACATATCTGAGATTCGTTCCCAGTATGTTCTTTCGGCGGCAGGTGTAGCATCTCTTGGACTAGGTGACGCCGTGTGCGGCGTTTTGCTCCAGTCAAGGATATAACTGTTGATACAGTCGAGGTCAGCAACTTTCTTCGCCGGTTCCGGCGGTAGACGATCTGCACGTGCCAGTCTGTGCTGGTCAGAGTTGTTCAAGCAAAGGTGTCGCACTTGTGAGTGCCTTCCTGCTATTCTGTTGAATGCTGCAAGTTTCTTCTCCAGGTATAGAGAAAACAAACCGTTTCGCGGGTGAACGTCTCCACCTTTTAAGGTGAGCCTCGACGCAATATTATTGAGATCCCCCGCAATTACATCCGGTTTAAAAGGGAGAACCTCGTTGAGGAACGCGTTCACCAGTTCGCGCCTCTGTTCTTCCTTATGAGTCATGTATGAGTTGAAATGGACGATCGCGATGGTGATGACCTTGTAAGGCCCTTTTGTACACCACATCTCGTCAAGATCGTTTGATGCTTCTTGTGAGAAGATCTCTGCGTATGACTCAAAGTCTTCCTCTGGTGGCTCATCACCCTCGACATGGCCGTTCCATTCACAGAGAACCGGCGCAGGGTCGAGGTCCGACATTGTCAGACACGCCTCTGGTGAGAGGTAAGAGCCATCAGTGGGTCCATCCTTGTCAGGATTTTTACCCTTGAGAGGGTCATATCCGATAATCTTCATGAACTCATCTCTCGTCATCCTCTGGCCGGAATATGGGTGGACCCATTCTTTTGCCTCCGGGATGGTACTGTGGTACCCAAAGGTGAGGCGGCATACCGCACCGTGGCATGCCCACAGTCGCTTCTTGGGACCACCAGCCTTAGGCTTCATTGTTCGGTGACGGTAAAAGTGGTGGACGAGAGAGATGTCTGTTGTTGGGTCACCCTTGACTCCAATATACATTGAGGGTGCCTCAGGCTCCTTGGGAGGAGAATGGATTAGCATCCCTCTGTATTCATGTTGTCGCATGGTTGCGATCGAATACTTTGACGCAAGTGCTCCTGCCTCGAGTACGAGGGTAATATGTGCTGAATTGTTGAAGCACATGTCAATAAGAGGGTGGTAATCGAATCCCTTCTCAGGTTTGAGTTTCTTTTTGGGATTCCCTGCTGGCACCGGCGCTCGATCCATATTTCCCCAGTTGCATACCACTAGGCTTAGTGATACGCTGTCTGGGTTTGAGCCCTCTATGTGTTCTCTCTTTTCGTTAACACCGGCCATCCTATTACGAACTATCTCGTAATGTGCGTCGAGCACCAGTTTGTCTTCGTAGCCAGTAAGAGAGAGAAAAGAAGCCGGGTGGCTTGTTCTGGAGTCCTTGATATTGATGTGACTCTTGTTAATGCTCTTGTATTCCTCCAGGGTTGGAGCCTCTGTGGAGCTGGCGTAAGTATTAGGAGGATTATTCCTAATATCATCAAAGCTACACGGATCAACGCCTGGATGGTCTCTCATGAACAGATTTCTTGCGTGGTCACAGTACATGTTGAT